GAGGGCATAGGTCACAGGTTGAAGCGAGGCTGCTGTGGCATCTGTTTTTATAGTAGATGCTAAAGAAGAAGCATGGGCCAGGCGCGGTGGTGCATGCCTGTAATCCCAGCAGCTAGGGAGGCTGAGGCAGGAGGATTGCAAGTTCAAAGCCAGTCTCAGCAACAGTGAGGGCCTATACAACTCAGTGAGGCCCTGTCTCTAGATAAAATACAAACAGAGCTGGGGATGTGGCTCAGTGGTCGAGTGCCCCTGAGTTCAATCCCTGGTACCAAAAGAAAAAGAAGAGGAAGCAGGGAAGAGGCCAGGAAGCTGAGACTCCTGTTATCAGGGTGTTCCTGGAGGAGATGGACTGGCTCGGAAGAACCCCATGATAAAGGGCAGAATTCCAGGTGGCAGAAAGAGATGTGTTGACAGAGGAACTCTGAGCTAATGTTGGAGTGAGGACCCAGCCCTGCAGAGGGATGTAGCCATGATCCCAGATGGTGCTGGAGCCACACATTCCTAAGGTGGCCTGAGGAGGACACTTCAGCATGGTTTCTGTGAACCTGAGCCTCTGGGGGCTGCCACACTGAGTTGATTAAAATCTATAAGCTCAGTGGAAAAGAGCCTCTGTCCATATGAGCGGGTCTCCTGTGGACTGCACTGGTACTCTAGGACACTGACATGGTGACCTCACACCACTTTCCTTTCTCCAGTTGGTCCCTCCCTCAGCCCCGTAGCTAGACCAAGCTGGCTTTTTGTCATACAGAAAGCGGGATCTGAAAGATTCCTTTTTTTTTGTATTGGAGTTGAACCACAGTCCTTTTTATTTTGTATTTTGAGACAGGGTCGTACTAAGTTGCTTGGGGGTTCACTAGGTTGCTGAGGCTGACCTTGAACTTGCCATCCTCCTGCCTTAGCCTCCTGAGTTGCTGGGATCACAGGCGTGCACCACTGCGGGATCTGAGAGGTTCTTGGGAGTAGTAGAAACTCTGGATGGCTGAGCCAGTTAGCTTACAAATTGTTAGGTTAAATGCTTGATTCTGGCATTAACAAGCTAATACACCATAAGTATAAGCCTATCCTTGGGCAGGGGTGGGATAGGGTGGACGGAGGGGATTTTGGGCAACAGGTATGAATGTCCCTTTTTTAGACAGAGCCTTATTCTTGGCTTTGGGTAGCAATTCAAAGGAAGGAGAGTTCAGAGTTCAGAACTTGGGGAGAGGTCGAGTGTTTAGCTGGAGGGAGGCTAAGGATGATGTGAGATTAAGAGCAGCGTGTTTGCCAAAGACACAAGAGTGGAGGGGAACTCTGGCAGAGGGCTGTGGAGCCAGGCTGTGATGGAGCTGAGCAGAAGAGGGATGGCACTTCATGTTAGGAGAAGCAGCTGCAGAAGGGTGCGATGCAGGAGTTGATGAGCCCAGATTGGCCTGAGTGGGCGGAGGTGAGGAGGAGCAAGGGCTGAGGAGGATGTTGGGCCAGAGCACATAACTGTGCTTTTTGTTTTCAGTGTCACCAGTACATGACTTAAAATCTCACTTTTCACCTTTCTTTCCTCTTGGCCCCAACCGCATCTCCCCAGGGATCCAGCGAGGGGACTGGTCTGTCTGCCTTGCTTCCCCAGCCTAAAAACCTGACTGTGAAAGAGACCAACAGGTTGCTCCTGCCCCACGCCTTCTCCCGGAAACCCTCGGACGGCTCCTCTGACACCAAGCCCTCCAGACTGGCTGCAAAGGCCAAGCCTTCCTCTCTCGCTCCTGTCGTGGGCACCACAACCACCACTCCGTCACCCTCTGCCATCAAGGCTGCTGCCAAGAGTGCTGCCCTACAGGTGACAAAGCAGATCACGCAAGAGGAGGATGACAGTGACGAGGAAGTGGCCCCCGAGAACTTTTTCTCCCTCCCTGACAAGGCCGAGCCACCTGGAGTTGAGCCATACCCTTACCCTGTCCCCACGATCCCTGAAGAGCTGCCTCCAGGCACGGAACCAGAGCCGGCTTTCCAGGACGATGCAGCCAATGCCCCCCTTGAGTTCAAGATGGCAGCAGGCTCAAGTGGGGCCCCTTGGATGCCTAAGCCTGGGGACGACTACAGCTACAATCAGTTTTCCACATATGGCGATGCCAATGCTGCTGGTGCTTATTATCAGGTGAGGGCCACACACAGCAGGCCACAGAAGGTTTGAGCCAGTGGTATGACCATAAAAAACACTCCTTTATCCTGAACCTTACGAATCTAAGTCTGACAGAGTTGACAACATAATCAACACCCTTATTCTGTGTTGGCTTTCCATCACTGTGCCAAAATACTTGAGGTAATCAACTTAAAAAAAAAAAAAAAAAGGAAGATTTATTTTTGGCTCACAGTTTTAGTCCTTGGTTGTTTAAGCCTGTTGCTTTTGAACTTGTGACAGGACAGTACATCATGGTGGGAGTGTGTGGCAGAGGAAGCTGCTCATATCACTGTGGCTGGTGGCTGGGGTCCTGTATTCCTTCCAGGGGCCCACCCCCAGTGACCTAACTTCCTCTCACTAAGCCCCACCTCTTAAAGGCCCCACAACTTCTCAGTAGTGCCATGGAGCTGGCCACCAGGCTTTTTATTTATTTATTTATTTATTTTTTAAGATAGAGAGGAGAGAGCGATAGAGAGAGAATTTTCATATTTATTTTTTAGTTTTCGGCGGACACAACATCTTTGTTTGTATGTGGTGCTGAGGATCGAACCCGGGCCGCACGCATGCCAGGCGAGCGCGCTACCGCTTGAGCCACATCCCCAGCCCCGCCACCAGGCTTTTTAAAAAAAAACAAAAAAACCCACAAGGATCTTAAGGGGAAACTTATTCAAATGATTTGCATTCTTTTTTTCTTTTCCCCCTGGTACTTTAGATTGCACCTAGGGGTGCTTTTACCCATCCCCTGCATTTTTCATTTTATTTATTTATTTTTTTTTTTGAGGCAGGGTTTCACTAAGTTGACCAGACTGGCCTTGAACTTGAGATCCTCTTGTGTCAGTCTCTTGAGAACCTGGGATTACAGGTGTGTGCCACTGCACCTGACCCCAAACTATAGCATTCTGAAAACCAAATCTTATTGTAGGAGTTGGTGAGAGGTTAAGGAGAAGGTGGGAGAGGAGCAGCTTCTCATCTTAGAAAATGGGCTCCTCAAATTTGGAGGATGAGGGTTAGGATTAGTGTACACTTCCAGATGGCAGTCAGGAAGGGTCTCCAGAGGTGTGGCAAATCTTGAGACAACAGGGAAGGCCAGGTGTGGTGGGACAGCCTGTAATTCCAGTGACTCACGAAGCTGAGGCAAGAGGTTCACAAATGCAAGGCCAGCCTGGGCAACTGAGGCTGTCTCCAAAAAGTGAAAAGGGCTGGGGCTGAATCTTAGTGGTAGAACACCCCTGGGTTCAGTCTCCAGTACCAGAAAGAGAAATAGGGAAGGAAGACTCCCAGCAGTCAGAACTTCCCAGAAGGGGGGCTGTGGGGGGAGCTCCTAGAGTTGGGCTCAGGTGATGGTTGAGCAGGAGGGTAGCTGGCCCCTGACTGGCAGTTGCAGGAAATTTTACTGCCCACCTGGGATGGTTTGAAGGGGATTTAAGTCCCCCTCGTCCACCGTGATTCTCTGAATTGGTCATTGTTAATCTTATATTCAGTCTGGGTGTGGGTAGGGAAAGAGGGCTTCAGGGGGACCCTGTTCTGACCAAAGACTTTGAAAACAGTTGTGTTCCCTAAATCTTTGCTCCTAAACTTTATTGTATCTTGTAGACAGATCAGAGACTGTGTCTCCCCTCAGGGCTATTATTAGGAGGAAGGAGAAAGATAATAGGAGGGTTTGGGCTTTTTTTTTTTGCAGTACTAGGGATTGAACTCAGGGTCCTCATGCATGTTAGGCAAGCGTTATATTCCCAGCCCTTTTAAAGTTTTTATTTTGAGACAGGATCTTGATAAGTTGCTGAAACTGGCCTTGAACTTGTGGTCTTTCTGCCTAAGCCTCCCGAGTCCCTGAGGTTACACTGTGTACCACCATGCCTGGTAAAGCACTTTTGAGTATTCTAAGGGACCCTGAAATTGAAATGTATCTTTTTGTGAATGCTACTATAGAAAATCCATAATTCTTTATTGTGCTGGAATTTTTGTATATTCTTGTGTAGTGAAAATTAAACAGTTTTCCATTTAACTCATTAGAAAATGTATGTTCCTAGATGGATAGAAATTTATTGGAGCTTTGGGTAAAAGTGAAAGAATTAGGGAAAATAGTGTAGGCAAGGAGGAAAGAGGAACCCAGTTTCTGGGTTCTCTGGTGGCCTAACTTGGCCAAAGCGGGGCTGGGAGGGGTGTTTCTTCCACCCGTCTTCCTCTGGGGTCTACAGCAACGACTGAGCTCCCCAAGTCTGAGGGGAATCATTAGATTCCTGCAGCAAAAATATGGTAACACAAACCTAGTTTGTCCTAGCTTTGTAAGTTCAACAATATTTCAATAGTGATTTATTTAATATCAGAGATCCACAGCCTCCCCCTCCCTGTGGACGGTCTCCTTGTGTCCAGAAGGCCTAAGTGGGGTGAGGAGCAGGGGGCACGGCGCCTACCTCGTCCTGCTGGCGTCACACCATGGCCCAGTGGGTCTCACGAGTTGGGGGAGCTGGGCAAGGGAAGGGTGGGAGTTGCCTCAGGTAGCAATGAGGGAGCAAGGCACAGATTGAAGGAGGAGAGAATGTCTTTATTTCTTGCTGTCCTTCCCTAAAAACCTCCCATCTGTCTGGATAGTTCAGATCAGAAAGTGCAGGAATGTTGGTGGGTTAGCGGGTGGGTCCTTGGATCTGTGTCTTTAGCTGCTTCCTCTGAGGGGCCACCTTGTCAGCGCCTGTTTCTGGGCCAACCTTGTCTCATCTCCATGTCTTCACTTGATGTGTTCTTTTCCCCTCCGGCCACAGGACTATTACAGTGGTGGCTACTATCCTGCACAGGACCCGGCTCTGGTCCCCTCCCAGGAAATTGCCCCAGATGCCTCCTTCATCGATGACGAAGCAGTAAGTTAACAAAGCACACATGACTTTTTTTTGTGTCCTGCAGCTGTCAGAACCACATTCAAGATTCAAAGCACTATCCTTTTGGTAGGGAAGTCACCGCTTAGTAGAAGGGATCTAGACGCGGGAATCGCCAACCTCTCGGTGGAGGTTCTTAGATGGGCATGGTAGTCTCCCAGCCACTTGGGCGGCTGAGGTAGGTGGATCACAAGTTTGAGGTTGGCCTGGGCAACTTAGTGAGACCCTGTCTCAAAATGAAAAAAAAAAAGTGGGCTGGGGATGTGGCTCAGTGGTGGGGTGCCCCTGGGTTCATCCCCGGTTTCACACACACAGCCTCTACTCACCTTCCTCTAGAAAGGAGTCCGTCGCTGTGCACACTTCTGCCTGTTGTTGATGTTGTGTTCTTCCACAGCCTCTTGGCAAGTGCAGAGTGAGTCGTTAGACCCTATTGCTCCTCAGCCTAGGGGCAGTTGGGTACCCGTTCAGTGGTCACATTCAGTTTTTAGTAGGTAGAGCAAGCTTGGAGGCATCACTAATGTTCAGATCAGGACCTGGGTCTTACTGAAGTTTTGGGGTGCTTTAATTCCCCTTGCTCCACGCTCCCCTCCAGGCACATCTCTGACTCGGGTGACTTGCCATTTTTCTGGAGGAGGAGGAGGAGGAAAGTCTCCTGGAGAATTTGCTGGGCCCTTTTTTGTGAGGCTCCCCAACCCAGCTCCACATTCTCCCTCGCATGTCCACTGCTGATTGGTGATATTGAACTAGTGAGTAGTACCAGAGGTGGAAAGAGAACTGAGTTTTAGAGGAGAAATCTTGGATTTTTTTTTTTTTTTTTTAATATTTATTTTTTAGTTTTCAGCAGACACAACATCTTTGTTTGTATGTGGTGCTGAGGATTGAACCCGGGCTGCACGCATGCCAGGCGAGTGCACTACCGCCTGAGCCACCTCCCTAGCCCGATTTTTTTTTTTTAAGACGTTGATGGACTTTTATTTTATTCATTTATTTATATGTGGTGCTGAGAATCGCACCCAGTGCCTCACACATACTAGGCAGGTGCTCTGCCACTGAGCCCCAACCTCAGCCTCTACTTGTTTGTGTTTGACATGGTCTCTTTATGTTGTTCAGAATGGTCTGGGAGTCCTGGGCTCAAGCAGTTCTCCTGCCTTAGCCTACCAGATAGCTGGGTGTTTAGGTGTGCAGCACCATACCCAGCTTACCCTAAATTCTTTTATTTTTTTTCATTTGATTTATTTATTTTGGGTGTGTGTATGGTTCTGGGGATTGAACCCAGGACCTCAAGAATGCTACGCAAGCTCTCTATTACTGAACCACATCCCCAGCCCCTTACCTTAAATTCTTATTGTGCAAATTGTACCCAGTCCTTTTAGGCAGATACAGTTTATACATCATTTGAGTACAGATTTATTCTGCTGGGTCTCTGTACTTGTTCATATTTGGGGACACCTTTTGTGTTCCCTTTCTTGGGGTCCAAGAGACCCTGTGAGAAGCAGGCCTTTCATCTTCTGTCAAGAGAGCTTGGTAGATGGCAGGTGAAAGGACATGTTGCAAAGAGGAATTGAGAGTGTGGTAGGATTGGTGAGTCACAAAGTCATAGCTGGATATGTGGTACACTCCTGTAACCCCAGTGACTCAGGAGGCTGAGGCAGGAGGATTGAAAGTGCCAAACCAGTCTAGGCAACTTATCAAGACTCTGTCTCAAAATAAAAAATAAATAGGTGCCTGTAATCCCAGGGGCTTGGGAGGCTGAGTCAGGAGGATCGAGAGTGCAAAGCCAGCCTCAGCAAAAGTGAGGCGCTAAGCAACTCAGTGAGACCCTAAGCAACTCAGTGAGACCCTGTCTCCAAATAAAATACAAAATAGGGTTGGGGATGTGGCTCAGTGGTCGAGTGCTCCTGAGTTCAATCCCCAGTACACACCCCTGCCAAAAAAATTAGTGGTGGGGATATAGCTTAGTGGTAGACCACCCCTGGGTTCAATCCCAGTACTGCAAATAACAAAGTCACTCCAAAAACTCTAGATCTTTAGTGACATCTCTTGATCTCCTCACCTGGGTTCTTAACTCCTGCATTTTCTTCTTCTTTCCCAGTTTAAACGGCTGCAGGGCAAGAGGAACCGAGGGAGAGAGGAAATCAACTTTGTAGAGATCAAAGGTGATGACCAGCTCAGTGGGGCCCAGCAGTGGATGACCAAGTCATTAACAGAAGAGAAAACCATGAAGTCATTCAGCAAAGTAAGTGGGAAAGGCATATTGGGTGACCAGTTTGGGAAGCTTCAAAACAAAATCTTGTCCTACTCGCTGCCCAGCCCCATATGCACCATTATAGCCACATCATTAACAAACACTTGTTCCACATGGTCCTGGAGTATGAACCAAGCCTCACAGCTATACCTCTGGATTCTAGAACTTTCCAGCATTTTAACTGCACTCTGTCTGGATGGTGGAGTCTGGTTGTTAAGAGTGGTTGGTTGGAGCACTGCTGTGGGAAGATCTCTGATGTGTTGTGGCTTCCTTCCTGGGCTGGTCAGAGCCCGCAGCCACTCTATGCTCTCCTGTAGTCTCATTTCTGTCCCCCTCCTGGTAAGCTGGGTCCTGTCTCAGCACATCTTTAAGGAGTGGGCTCAACAGAGCCTGAGAGTGCTAGGGTCCCTAGGTCCTGAGAATGCAGCTCGTCCTCGCTCCTTCTCTCCATTATTTATTGTAGCCAGCTGTGGTCTTTCCAAATGCTTTTCTTCCTCACGTTTCCCAGCCCATGCCCGGCCTTCTCTGTGCTAGTTTTCTACAGTGTGATGAACATCTCTTCACCCAGAGCTGAGTAGAGCAACTGTGGACATTTACGAGCTTGCCACAGGGGGGAATATGCGGGGAAGCCCTGGATTTGAGCCCAGCACCAGCAAGGCCAAAGTCAAAGATTTTACCCCTGCTTGCCCATTTGCTTTGCTTTGTTCTGTGGCCACAGATGGCCATCCAAGCCCCAGCCGTTTGTTTTAACTGAATGCTGGCGGTCATACAGGACAGAGCAAAGGATTGTGGTTAGATCAGCATAGATCCATCACTGTTTACTGGAAAAACCACTTAGGAGAGCATGCTCTACTAACTGCGAGCCAAGAAGCATCATCACATAGTAATGGCTGTTGTTGTTAGCACTCACCGTGGGCCAGGAATGGCAGTGATGTTTTATGTATATCATCTTTAACTGTCACATTAAATGACATGCAGTAATAGCATGGAGTTAGAATATGCTTTTTTCCCAGCTCCTGGTTTTCTCCCCATCATCTCATTGTAGTGAACTAGCTTTTTAAAATGAAGATATGGTCCCCGTCCTTGAGGAGTTGATAGTGTAGTTGGGAAGAAGAGATTTAAGGACACTTGAGTGTAAATGATTACAGCGCAAATTGATTACATAAGTGCTGAGGAGACTCTGGAGAGGAGTTTTGAGAGTTGGGTGGGGCTCGCTAGGAAGCTTCTAGCCTGAGACAGCTCTGGCAGAGAATAGAAAAACCACAGAATGAAAGCCCAGGCCAGCATAGACTTTGACAGTAAATCGTTTACATCAAAGTTTGGCTAGGCGTTCAGTGCAGTGGTAGGCAGAGATTGGAGGACTGGAGAGAAGTGGAGTCATTGTGAAATTTCTAATTCCAAGGAAGCTGTTGGTACCTTCTAGAATGGGTGAAGTGGGGTTTCAGCCAGAAATGATTGATGGGAGAGTTTGGTAAGCAGTAGGTAGGAGACAGACTAGACATCTGGCCTGACTGGGGAGAAGGGAACAGAGACGAAGAGATTTTAAGGGGGAGATGGGCACAGGGATTGTGAGGAGTTCTTGGAGGGAGGGCAGAAGATCGTCACCTGTGCCCTGGCACTTAGCTATCAGACAAGCTGCTGGCATAAAGGTGGTCTCGGGTGCCCTGAGCTTAGGGTGGAGGAGGTGGGGGTTACCAAAGAAACAAGATGGTCCTGACCTCAAAGTATTTCCAGCCTAATGGGGATATTAGCAGCCTGTTTCAGCAGTGATTCTGAGCTTGGGCTTTTTGCATAATGGCTTTAGTAAAAATAACTGTTTTGTAAGTATATAGACATAAAAACAGCTCTACACTGACTTCTCTCCCATAGGATTTGGGCTGTGTAATTTGTTTTTCAGTCCCCAGCCTGCACAGTATAGGCACTTGAGAAACTTCTGCTTCTCTTCTTGTGGGTTAAGGTCTGTATTTTCTTCCCTTGCAGAAGAAAGGCGAGCAGCCAACAGGCCAGCAGCGGCGGAAACACCAGATCACGTATCTGATTCATCAGGTGAGAAGGCAGGAGGCCTGGGCCAGGCAGGATCCCCTAGACCTGGGAATTGAGATCTGGGTTAAGAGTAAGAAGCCCACATATAGGACCAGCTTCCAGCAGCATCCTCCCCTGTTCTCTGTGTGGCCACCAGGGGGAGATGTGTCCTTCAGTATCATCCTGTTCTACCTCTTATTGCACAGAGGACTGAGTTACAGGTGCTTAGAACAGACTCCAGAAGAGCCTGTCTGGTGGGGTCTGCTTCTAAGCCTAACAGTTCGGGAGGCTGAGTCAGGAGAATTGTGAGTTCAAAGCCAGCCTCAGCAGAGGCAAGGTGAGGCACTAAACAACTCAGTGAGACCCTGTCTCTAAATAAAATACAAAATAGGGCTGGGGATGTGGCTCAGTGGTCAAGTGCCTCTGAGTTCAGTCCCTGATACACACACACAAAAAAGAATAGACTCCAGAAGAGAAAATTCAGATATCCAAAACACAGTTTAAGAGGAGGGTGAAGGGCTGGGGCTATATCTCAGTTGGTACAGTGCTTGCTTTGCATGCACAAGGCTCTGGGTTCGATCCCCAGCACCAAAAAAAAAAAGGGAGAGTGAAATAGTTTATCATAAGGTCCTTTTAGATAGTAAATTTATCTAATAATTTTTAAAAACCTAAGAAAAAATTGATTCACAAATTTGACCTTTACCTAAAAAGGTCCATTTGTATTTGCCAACACAAATTTTAGAATTCTAGATAATCCAAAAAATGTGTTTGGGAATATGTCTTGGTACTATTTTCAAATCCTTAAACATCCTTTTGAGACCCACAGTACTGAAAGCTGTCAGAGGTACAGACAAGAACATGAGGCGCTTCCTGGCTATGTCCTAAGGGGTGTGCATTCTGGTTGGTGGTTTCAATGGCAAATCTTGCTTTCATGGTCCTTGTCATAGTTTTATCTTCCTTTTCAGGAACTCCTTTGTGCTCTTTCCCCATATTGTAATTTTTAGGGGACGAATTTGAGGGTAGAGTCTTTTCTAAACCCAAACTCTTACTGTCTTCCCCAGCACGTCTAGGAGAAATGAGCAGGCATCAGATAACATTGGGGATTGGGGAGCCCCCTTATCAGGATGGTGCTTGTACATTCCCAGAAGAGCCAGGAGATATTGAGATCAGAAGAGAGAAGTCATTTTTCTAGTACCAGTAGAATTTTTCACAGCTCTAAAAGATTACTTTAAAATGATGTGGTTGGGCACCTGTAAACCCAGTGACTGGGGAGGCCGAGGCAGGAGGATTGCAAGTTCCAGGCCAGCCTGGACAACTTAGTGAGACCCTCTCTCAAAAACCAAAAAGGACTGAGGAATGTAGCTCAGTGGTAGAGCACCCCTGGGTTTAATCCTCAGTACTGGGGTGGGGCAGGGGGAGGTACGAATTTTTGGAGTGCAACATGTGTTATATTCAACACAACAGCAAACCTCTTTTTTAGACTTAAGTTCTGGTTGTTTGGCATCCTGTGGTGACCTCTCCAAGTCTCTGAGACTGTCCTTTCCTGGCTGCTGGTTGAGTAACTGAGGTATCTGATTTAGATGCCAGCTTCTAGTTCTCCTTTTTCCATTTCCCACTTGAACGCCTCAGTTTTAATTCTACCAGAGCAAGCACAAGGATTCTTGAGTCCTTGTTCTGCTTGAGCCTTGTTAGCTCTCCAAAGAGATGATTTTTCTTTGCTTTTTTGTGGTCTTCTCCTTTGTGGATAAGAGAAAATGAAGTCTTTCAAGGGATTTGTTCTTTCTTTTTTTTAGTTGCCAATGGATTTTTCGCTTTATTTATTTATTTATATGTGGTGCTGAGGATCGAACCCAGGGCCTCTCACATGCCAGGCGAGTGCTCTACCGCTGAGCGACAGCCCCAGCCCAAGGGATTTGTTCTTTTCCCGTAATTGTTATTATGGGAGAAAGTCCGTGTGTGTACGCGCACACAGGGGTACTGGGGATTGAACTTGGGGCACTACCACTGAGCTACATCCCTAGCCCTTTTATTTTTTATTTTATTTTTTTTTTAAATTTTAAGATAGGGTCCTACTTAGTTGTCCAGGCTGACCTCGAACTTGACATCCTCCTTGCTCTTCCTCCGTAGTGGCTGGAATTACAGGTGTGTGGCACAGTGAAAATCTTGCTGGGAGAAAGATTTTCAGTTGGGAAGCTCACAGAGATGAGAGGAAAATGTCTTTCATGATTCTGGTTTAAGGGCTGGCAGTGTGCTTGCTCAGCATGTATAAGGCCCTGGGTCCAGTTCCTAGCATCGTACGTCTACACAGATGCTATTGTGACAGCCCTCACCCCTTCTTCCTTGCCACAGGCTAAGGAGCGGGAGCTGGAACTGAAGAACACCTGGTCAGAGAACAAGCTCAGCCGCCGGCAGACCCAAGCCAAATACGGATTCTAGGGCTTTGGAACTGATGCTCCCAGGATCTCCTGCCAGCCTAGTTGGCCCAGCCCCCAGCTTCACCTCTGGGACCCCAGCTGCTCTAAGCCCAGGATGTCTTTCCCTGAGGACCCAGCCCTCGCCTCTGCGAGAATGAACATATTTGATAGATTTTTCTTAACAAGTTAGAAAATTGAGCTCCTGTCCGTGTTGGAGCTAGCAGACTGAGTGATGCCGCTGGAGGGGCTCCGAGTTCTCGGGTGGGAGTCTTGCTCCCTGTCAGGTGTGATGAAATGTTGAACTCTCCCCTACCTTTTTTTTTTTTTTTTTTTTTTTTTAAAGCCAGGGATGTCTGTTGAAATAAAACATTCAGTCTGACAGACGCTGCCCTCCTGCGCCTGGACCTCAGTGTGGTGTCTGTGTGCAGCGTCCCTGCAGAGGGCCTTGAGCTGCCTTGGAAAGTGCTTTGCTTTTTCCCAATGGCCACAACTGGGTTCATGACCTTCGAAGACCCTAGAATTGCAAGGTTTTATCCGGGTCAAGATGATTTTTCAATGGGGCCTGTGATCCCAAATAGAGAAAATGATGCTGATCTCAAGTGCCTCTGGAGATGGGGGACATCCTGAGGTTCCTTCTGTGGCATGAAAGTGCTAATGATTAGATATGAGATGACATCCAGCAGGCAGTGGTGCAATTCCTCTTCCTAATGGTGAATCACATTTACACTGATGTCATTGACCTGAGCTCTTCCAAAAGCTTAAGGTAAAGCATGAGGGCTGGACACACCTCAGAGACTCCCCAGTTCCCAGCCTCTGTTGGGGAATGGAGGTGGCAGGGCCTACAGGTTTCAGTTAGCTGAGGGGCTCTGCGATGAAGGGACAGGACAGATGGCATGATTTCTTTATCTCAGAGCAAGTTTCAGGTGGGGATGGTCATAAAAACAGTGTGCCACTCGTACTGTGAACCTCCACTGAAACACACTGTCAGGTGCTGGGACTCCAGGAGAACTTAGCTGCCAGGTTTCCGGCAAGAAAGGAGAGCTGAAGAAGGTCAGTCACGCCCTGATGCTCGAGTCCTGTTTCAGGGAAACACAGGGAGAGTTAGCATTCTGCAAGGCTAAGGCCAGGGGCCAGTTTGAAGAGGCGCGTGGTGGGTACTTGGGGATGGGAGGGGGAAGCAGAGGGTGGCATCTCGTGCTTCTGGTGTGTGCGCTGGGGTAAGTTGAGGAGGCTGTTTCTCATTAAGCACACTGGAGGGTTCCGTCACTTACAGGAAAACCACCCGCTTATCTGAAATCTGACCTACTTCGGGTAGGAGCCAGACAGGGCTCCTGCGTCCCACAGGGACACTCAGGCTGTACTTGTCCAAATCTTTGAATCCAGCCAGCCTTCAGCTAGGAGCATCAGCCCTCAACACATGCCCACTGTCCACAGAGGAGCTGGGGCCAGGCTGAGATCCGCCCCTGCTAGGTGTCAAAGGTGGGTGAGGTGGCGCAGCAGAGCACAGGAGGCTGAGGTGCTCCTGGGATTCAGAAGTCTAACTTCTTTTATTTTATTTAGTATTTTTAGTTGTACATGGAAGCAGCATCTTTGTTGATCTACTTTTATGTGGTGTTGAGGGTCGAACCCAGTGCCTTAACACATGGGAGGCAAGTGCTTTACCGCTGAGCCATACCCCAGCCCCCCAAAAGTTTAACTTATTTTAGGGGCTGCTCCAAGATGTGGCAGGAAATGTTCTTTGGGCTGGGATGGAGGGACATGGGAAGAGAAAGTCCCAGTGTCTTTTGGGGATGGGCAGAATCAGACCAGTTCACTCTTAAGGGGCTTCTTGCCTTCCACTCTGAGTTTTTGGTGGTCCTAGGGATTGAAATCGTGGTCTCACATATGCTAGGCCAGCGCTCTGCTGCTGAGCTACATTCCTCCTCACCTTCATTTCTCAAGAAGTCTTACGTATATATTTTCAAAGCCGCTTTTTTGTCCTACCAAAGATGGCATTTTATTTAGTGGTTGTAATTTTCTGGTCACAAACAAATGCTAGCAGTGTAGAAGGTGAACAGACTCCATCGCAGGCCTTCTGGAGGTTCTGATAGTGGGAAAGAGGAGACGGGTGAGGGAGAGATAAGGAGCAATAGGACTGATCTTGGATAAACTGTCTTGGCAGCATCAGCCACAGGGCTGGAGGAGGAAGGACTGAGGGTCTTGGTCAGGAGTGGGTCCATGTGGTCCTGGAAGCTGTTGGGGGGACCAGGGCAGAGCCGAGCAAGCAGTGCTGCGTTGACTGGGAAGCTGAGGTCTAAGGATCAGCCTTGCACATGGTGGGGACAGCAACGTTGTCCTGTAGAGGGTGTTTCCGTGTTGCTGGCTCCTGGGCAAGGACCCAGCCAGGTCTTCACCCCAGCTGCCTGCTGAGCAGAATGTGAAGTGCTGCGGAAGGGGACAGCTGAGTTTACAAGTTCCGTTTCTCAGTTCCCGTCTGCCAGCGACCCCCAGAGGTCCAGGCGGCCTTAGGAAACATTCTGCATTAACTAAAGGAAAAGATGGAATGAAAGGGGCACCTGGGGAGAAGGGAGCGGGAAGAAGATAATAAGGGCCATCACCGTCAACCATGGTGCTGAAGGGGCCAAAAACTGGACTAGGCAGTGGGAACAATGAACTTGGCTCACAGCAAGGACTTCCACGTGCTCTGGGGGTGAGAGGCTCTCCTGCCGATCTAGGATTGGGCTGAGTCACATAGGTCCTGCGAGGCAGGAGGGACGTAATGGCCCTGGGAAGATTGAGTCAGCTTAGAGGTGCCCTCCCCCTCCTAGCATTAGTGGTGTCTGACTGGGGACACAGGAACCTGCTCAGCATAATCATCCTGGTTCCCTTTTCCTGTGCAAGTTCCTCACCTTCATCCTGAGGTCTCACTGCAACCCAGGCCTCAGCTTGGTAGGAAAGGCAGGGTTAGAGTCAGCGGTGGGGAGAGTTGTTCACCACCGTGGTCTGCAGGCCTGGCTGCTGCTGGAGCCCTCTAGGACTGGGACCTTGTCCTGCTGCCTGCAAGGCACCTTATGCTATCAGAATGCTGGTCTGGGATGACAGAATCTGGGCACTGGACCCGACTGCCTCCAGCTCTGTCACCTCCCATCTCTAGAGCTCCACTTCCTCTCTGGTTGCACCCAAACTCCCATCTTGAAGGCTCCCTGAAGTTCCTCTGTGCCTAGCAGGCCCGCTTCAGATCCTTTCGCTTGCATGGTCTCCGTTTCACAAGAAGTGGTGACAGTAGCACCGAACAAGGGCCTAAGGCTGCACAGCTGGTTAGCACAGCACCCCAACAGGCTTCTGATGACTCCTCATTGTCTGCATTCTCCTGCCACCCCTCACCGTGGAAGGGAAAAGGAGGCCATCCGAGGTCCCACCATGCTCGCCTCGTAGAAATATCAAGAGGGCCGCTGGGTTTCCCTATCCCACCCACACCTGCCCATTCGTTATATCCTGAAGTCTGGGGAAGTCTTTGTTTTCTGACCCTGCCTTGCCTAACAAGTGTGAGAGGCCCTGGGTTCAATCCTCAGGACCACTGACCTCTTAACCCCCATCCCCAGAACCACTGACACACACCTGTAATCCCGGAGGTTGAGACAGGAGGATCCCAAGTATGAGGTCAGCCTCAGCAAAGCTTTGTCTCAAAATTATAAAAAAGGGCTGGGTGTGATGGCGAATGCTTGTAATCCTAGGAGTTTTGGAGGCTGAGGCAGGAGGATTGCAAGTTCAAAGCCAGCCTCAGCAATTTAGTGAGGCCCTGAGCAACTTAGTGAGACTCACTCTAAAAATACATACATACACACACACACACACACACATATATATATAAAAGGGCTGGAGATGTAGCTCAGTGGTAAGGCTCCCCTGGATTCAATTCCCAGTTTCAAAAAAACAAAAAACAGCCACTCTTTTCTGCCTCCTCCTCCTTCCACAAGGAATCAGCCAGGAGGCCACTCCTTGAGTCTACCCTGAGAGCTTTCTTGCACTTTCAGCCTCCTACCCATCTCAGCAGAGCCATCTGCTCCCCACGCCCCTCCTCCTTTCGCCCAGGAGGGGTTCAGACCTACAGACAAAGGAAGTGGAACCCCAACTGTTGACTCAGCATTCCTGTTTCTCCTTCAGCTGATTCGCGCTGGAGTGGAAAGGAGGGAACTGGCTAGTCACTGGAGCTGGCGCCCGGGCCAGGCTGGGGGTGGTGTGGCAGCAGTGCCCAGGCCTAGGGAAGGTAGCCGGGGACAGGGGGCTGCAGAGTCACTGTGCCCTGGGGTCTCCCACCCACAGCCATCAGACCTCATCCTCTTGCTCTGCACCCTGGCAGGAAGTGGGACCCTGACAGGCACGACTGCAGAGACAGTGTGTGAGAACAGGCAGTGCGGAGGGGAGGGGCCCAGCATAACCCTGACCCCAGGGGGACCTGGGGACCATCCTGAACAAACAGCCCTTCCTCAGAAAGCCAAGACAAAACTGAAACCCAGGGCAGATGCTTATAGGTGGTTGGAGCCCCAGTGGAGCTTTGCTAGCCCTGAAGTAGGTCTGGACAAAGAAGCTCACAAAAGGAGCCGGGGAGGGAGTGGGGTCCTGAGTGAGGCAAAGGGCCCAAACCCAGGAGGCTCAGGAGACAGAAATGCCCTGGAGCCATTTCAGGGGTTCACAGCACATACACAGAGGCTTAAAAGGCACCTTCCTCCTCCCCAGTCCCAAGCTTTGCACAGGGTCTAGGAAGGAGGTGAAGGGGCTACCCTTCAGTCACTCCCATCCTTGCTCATTTCTCTGTGTGTGTGTGTGTGCACGCGACTGAATCCAGCAGAACACTTTACCACTGAGTTATATCTCCAGCATTTTTTTTTTTTTTGATGGTGCTGGGGATCGAACCCAGGGCCTTGTGCATGCAAGGCAAGCACTCTACCAACTGAGCTATAGCCCTAGCCCCTATCTCCAGTATTTTTTATTTGGAGTCAGGGTCTCACTAAGTTGGTAAGGGTTTCCCTAAATTGCTGAGACTGGCCCTGAATTTGCAATCCTCCTGCCTCAAGCCTTCTGAATAGCAGGGATTACAGGCATGTGCCACTGCACCTGGCTTTGCACCTCTATCTTTACTGGCACCGGCTAGTTCATGCAGCTTCCTCACTCCCCCAGCCCTTCGGACTCAGTCCCCCACCCACTACTTTGGGCAGGGATACTTTGCAGAGAGAGGCCTGCCGCCTGTGCCCTGGGGTGGGGTCTCCCACCCACAGCCAGCAGACCTCATGCTCTTGCCCAGGTGTCTTTCAACTCCTAGATCCCTCTGTCCCCGCAGCATTGGCAGTTCAGCCACAACAAAAGAGACAGAGAGAGAGAGAGAGAGAGAGAGAGAGAGAGAGAAGGAGCCTGGAGAACTTGGATCCCTGTGGGGGGAGGTTGTTGGCGATGATTTATTAGCCAGACAAGAATCAACAAACAAGTTCTAACATCTGTTCTCACCAAACCATTCCTCAGACAACAGCAGCATTGGACTGGGGCCCAGACTCAAAGGCCCAGAGGGCCAAGGAAATTAGACTCCAGGAGGAGAAACCAGGGCAGCAGGAGCCAGAGGGCCCTGGTAGCACACTACTTTGCTGTCTTAGAGGATCACCAAGCATCAAGCCACTGGATTTCTGGGGACTCTCAGCAGTCAGTGTGTGTGTCCCTAAGAGGAGGAGGCAGATTCCACATTTGCTCCTCTGAAGTCCAGGTTTTTTTTTTTTTTTTAATTGTGTGTGTGAGAGGGCAGACCTGTCAGGGGACAGGGCTAAGTCAGGATCCAGGAGAGGAACCCAGCACTCAGACCCCGACGTGGCAGAAGTCTGGAAAAGCAGCCAGGTTTCCTATCTGAGGAAGTCTCTGATGTTTCCTATGGAGAGAGTTAGAGGATAGGGGGTAAGGAATAGACTCTGAACAAGGAAGTCAGGAAACCTGTGTTTTAGTCCTTGACCTTGACCCAGTCACTATCCCTCTCTGGCTTTGCTTCCTTATCTGCACAGGAGGGAGCTGGACTTGATCAGTAAGGGCAGATGAAACACTGCTCCTCCTCCCTCCAGCATCAGTAGCAGACATCACTAATCAATCATGGTGCTCCTTTCTGCTGAGTTCAGGTATGACCTTAGCATCCTTTCCAATGCAGCTCGCTAGGCAGCCACGACCAACGGATTGGAGTTGGCATGCAAGATGACACCTCTTTGCCATCCTTGCAATAGATGAAGGCTGAGGTTCTTTCCAGTTTTGATCACCTTTATATACCATCCACATTTCCTGAGAAGGACACCCAGCATGTGTGTGTGAAGGTCTCTGGACCTGATGTCCCAAGTTTTCCCCCAACCAGCTCAGACTTACCACTTATAGAGGAGGCCCAACGGGGAGCCATGCCTGTCCTCAGTCCTGAAGCACCTGTCTAGAGAGGTTGTGGGGAAGGGTGTGCCTCCAGGGGAGTGGAGGCTGCTGAGGCAGGGGAGGGCCTTGTCCAGCCCCAGAATTCTCAGAGTACCTCTGTGGACCACCTGGATTCTGCAGAGAGAAGGACAGTCCTAGGTCACACATCTTAGGCCTAGATGCAGTCTCAAGGGCAAAGTCATCTGGGCTTAACAGACTTGCCCTCCAGAGGGAGAATCTAAAATCCTCTCATTCATTTAGCAAGCAGGATATGGAACACAGAAGGAAACAATTTGAGGGCCAAGGATTGGCAGTGTGGAGTTTGTGGGACACTGGAGAGTGAACCAGACCACAGAGAAGTTTGGATAGTGACATGGACTGGCGACATCAGCTCCTGGCAGGAGTGTGTGGGGGGGTGTGGGCGTGGGCAGGCACAAGGGCTGAGGGGGAGTCTGTGGCTCCAGCAGGGAGGGATGGTGAGCAAGGAGGGAGATGGAGACAGAGGGAGAAGGTGGTCCTGGCCAGTGGGTCTAACACATTATGTGACAATAGGTAACCTCGACAGGGACTTGAACTCATCAGTGGGAGGACGGGCGTGGGAGGATGGAAGAGGGAGGCAGGAGTGCGTGTGCCCCTCCCCTGAACGCATCTGAGATGACACACAGGACTGGAGCGCTGACCCCGGAAGAGGAGAGGCGCTAGTTTGGGGCTGGGAAAAGGGGTCAGGCAGTCTGGACCTTTGTGTCCCTCCCCCTCGCCGGGGGTAAAGACCTCGCCCAGCACCCACTCTGAATACCTTCTCCATCCTCCTCAAACTATGGTGCGGGAAGTCCTTCTTGGACTCCTTCTCCCTGCACCCTCATTTACCTGGCCTCCTGGGACAGGCCTGGATAGGCACTTGCGGAGGACGCGGTGCCCAGCGGACGCCGTCGCTGACAGACCTTCCACCTCGGCATAGATGTTGCTGGGGGCCTCCCCAGGGCTGCCCCGGCCCATGGCGTAGAAGGCGATGGGTTCCTCGGGCTCTTGGTAGATGGGGTGGGTGGGTTTGGGGGGTGGGACTGGGCGGGGTCGCGGGGCGGGGCTCGTGTAGAGTTCCGGGGGCAGTTGAGGTTTGGCGGGGACGGGAGGCTTGGTCCTGGGCGGCTGAGTGGGCTAGGAGGGAAGACGAGGCTAGGGAGGAAGGTCGGTGGGCGCAGCTGCCACCAGCCCGGCTCTCCTACCCTCTAGGCCCCTCCTCCTCCTCCCCATGGCTCACCCCTCTCCTACTGGCTCCTCCCTGTGGCTCCACCCCTCCTTCTGGCCCCTCCCCGTGGCCCCACCCTCTCCTGCTGGCTCCTCCCCGTGGCTCCACCCCTCTCCTGCTGGCTCCGCCCTCTCTCAGGCCTCGCTGTCTCCTGCTGGTCCTGTGGCTCAAAGCGGTACCTCCTTGGGCTCCCAGGCCCCCTCTTTGTGCGGTAGGGCTGGAGCCTGCCCCTGTTGCATGTCTGGGTTGTGCTGGGGGCTTGGGTTCTGACTGTGGCTTCCAGAGTCTGACTCTTCAGTCCTGAGGGACAGCCCTGCGGGCTCAGGAGTCTGCTGGGGAATAAGCAGGGCTGAGGGACTTGATGCGGGAGGGGACAGGTGCCAGTGGGCAGGTGATTCAGAAGGACCAAGCAATCTGGTCCAAGAGGAGGACAGGAGAGGAAAGAGACATAGAAATTTGGCCTGGGCTGGGTTCTCTGGGTGAGGAAGAGGGGATGGACATGGCAAGGAGGCTAGGGGTCAGATGGAGGGGGACAAACTCTGGTCATAGGCTGTGTACACATCAAACTTAATTTCATCTGGAACATGGGACCAGGCCAATCTTCATTTGTGCCTGTGGTTGTCAAATACAAGAATGTGAAGTCTTGGTTTTGTGGTACTGGGTTTTCATTTTGAGACAGGGTCTCACTAAATTGCTAAGGGCCTCACTAAGTTGCTGAGGCTGGTCTTGAACTGTCAATACTCTTTCTTCAGTCTCTGGAGAGACTGGGATTATAGGCAAGCACTACCATGCCTGGCCCCAGCTCTTTTTTAGTTTTTTATTTTGAAACAGGTTTTGCTAAGTTGTCCACGTTGGCCTTGACCTTGTGATTCTCCTGCCTCAGCCTCCCCAGTCGCTGGGATTACTGGCACACACTACTGTGCCTGGCATGGCTTTAGAAAAGTCAGGATGGGAATGGATCTCCATGACAGCTGTGTCTGTGTTTAATTTCTGCATGAGCAATAAGCTTAATTTATGGAGATATAAGCTAAATTTTTAGGGGCAAAGACTGCCTGAAGAGAGATGAGCCTCACAGTGGGAAGGTCACATCCCATGGTAGGTGCTTTTAGCTCTGCATTAACCCTAGCTTCATGAATGTTCTCCGCGTGCCCTCTGCTCCTGGTAAGCTAAAGCCACAGGGACTTTCTTGTGCTCCTGCAATCCACTTCGGTCTTCCTGGATCCAAATCATAATCCTCTTTCTCCTTGTCCTCACGCTCTCCTCTCTTGGAATTCTTTCATAAATAAAAGTGGCAACACAGGGGCTGGGGTTGTGGCTCAGTGGTAGAGCACTCACCTAGCATGTGCGAGGCGCTGGGTTTGATTCTCAGCACCACATAAAAATAAATAAAGGTATTGTGTCCAACTACAACTAAAAAAAAAAAAAAATTAAAAAAAAAAGTGGCAATGCTACTTTGCTGCCCAAATAGCACCTTAGGGTCAGCCTCAACACCCACTGTCCCCCCACATCAAATCCAATACCCGTCTGCCTCGTCCAATGCCTACATATCTTTCTCATCTGCCCACTCGTCTCAAGCCTGCAGCCACCACCCTCATTCAGGCTTCTTCATCTCTCCCTGCCTCCTCTTGCCCTCCCAACCTGTTCTGTGTCTCCTTACCCAAACTCCCTAACAACCCTGCAGGGTTGCCTGTTGCCCAGGATAAACCAAACTCCTGAGAGCTTGAGTGGCAAGACCCTGTGTGACCTTGGCTTAGACCTCAGTCCCCGACAGCATGCCTTCAGCTTTCTCAGCTCCATCCAGCTTCCCTTCTCCCCGAGACTTTCCTATATCCTGCTACAGCTGCTTGAGAATCTTGGGGTTCTCCCCTGCCTATTCCTCTCAAAGGCACTGAACCAAATCAAACTCCATGAAACTTCCTGTTGGTCACCAGTGACTTCCTTTGGTAAATCCAGTGGTCAATTTATGTATTCTTTCTCTTCCTCTCTCCCTTTCAGTACTAGAGATTGAACCCCGGGGTGCTCTACCAATGAGCTACATCTCCAGCCCTTTTTATTTTTTGAGACAGGGTCTTGTTAAGTTGCTGAAGCTGGACTTGAACTTGAAATCTTCCCATGTCAGCCTCCCAAACTGTTGGGATTATAGGCACGCACCACTGTGTATGGTGTTGGGTTTTCTTCTTGATGCTTACTTACTGTGAGACATAATCAAGTACTATTTTTTTGTGGGGGGGGGGTACTGAGAATATAACTCAGTGGCATTTAACTCCTGAGACGCATCCCCAGCCCTGTTTATTTTTTTATTTTGAGACACAGCCTTGCTAAGTTGCTGAAGCTGGCCTTGAATTTGCAATCTTCGTGCCTCAGCCTCCCCAGCCGCTGGGATTACCACCATGCCCGGCACTGTGTACTATTTGTTATTTCTATTATTTACTTACTGTCTGTCTCCTTGTACTAAAATGTAACCCTCTTGAGGCTGTGATATTTTGGTCAGTGTTGTTCACTTCTGTCTCCCCAATGCCCAGAAGGATGTCGGGCACACAGTGGTCTCTCAAAACAGACTGAACCTTTTAAGAGAGGCAATCCCTGGCTCTGCGCCTGTTAGGTGAAATGACACTCCCATATTCTCCTGGCACCACAATCTCCATACTGGATCCCTATCACTTGTCTGTCTTTCCTGCTGAAAAGTAAGGTTTGCAAGTGTAAAACTCGCCTGTCTTGTCCATGAATCTATTCCCAGGGCCTTCCAGTACCTGGTAGATAGCTTTAGGTACTGAGTAAATGTCTCTTAACTTAAAAAACAAAGGACTGCGCTGGGGAGGTGGTGCATGCCTGTAATCCCAGCAGCTCAGGAGGCTGAGGCAGGAGGATGACCAGTTGAAGGGTAGCCTGGGCAAAGTCAGTAGGCCCTGTCTCAACAAAAGGGGGGGCGGGGAAGGGGAGGATGGGGATGTAGCTTAGTGGTAAAGGGCCCCTAGGTTCAATCCCCAGTAAAGAAAAAAAGAAAAAGACCGTGTGCCTGGGGGCCTCTGCCTGGGGGGCTGTTGGGGTCTCCCAAGGGCTCCTTCCTCCCCCAGCACTCATTTTTCTGGAAGATGTGGGTGAGGACGTCAGGAATGGGTCATGTGGTCGGGCTGAGAAAGTGCCTGGTGCTGGGGTATGGGCCTGGACTCGGGTGAACAGGTGCTGGCCCGAGTCCCCCGGGGCTCTGGGCATACCTGGCGGGCGAGCGGCCGGGTGAGTGTCTCCCCGTAGGGGCTGAGCGGACACTCGGTGTAGTGCCGCAGCAGGTCCTGAAGCTGCGCGTGGGCGCTGTCCTCGCCCAGCACCACGTGGCGCCCGTCCCTGAGCTGGGCCAGCAGGAAGTGGCGGCAGCAAGTCCGGCTCCTGGAGGGCGCCAATCAGGATCAGATTCGCCATTGCCTCTCCCTGGCCAGGGCCACCAGCCGCGACCCCTACCTCCCAGCTCCAGGGTCTCTGCCCTGAGCCATCAGAGGGAGGAGCGGGAGCCCCCGGGGGAGAGGCTGAGTCAGCCCAGTCCGGTCCAGATGATTAGCCCGAAGCCCCGCCCTCACCTGTAGGTCAGCACGAAGGTCACGGCGCTCTCGCTGAACCGCACCAAGTAGCATCCCTGAGGCTGGGGCCCCAGCAACCTCTCGGCCTCCCTGAGGGTGATGCAGAGAAGTGGCGGGACCTGGGCCTGATCCTTCTGGCCTCTCTCTGCCCCCGTGATTCTCGTGGGGATGGATCCCCACCTCCCAAGCAAGCATGCGGGAGGGTGGGCAGAGGGAGGATGGGTCGCGGCTCTTCACTGGGGGGGGGGGACTGGGTGTGGCCAGGAACAAGCCCCCCCCCCCCCCTCCGGACACCCTGCATCCTACCAGGGCAGCAGCTGCAGTAACAGGGATAGAATTAACTTCTAGAGCTCAGAGATCACAGGCTGAGAAATGGAGGAGGGGGCTCTGCAAGTAGGAGTGTGGGCAGGAGAGAGCCAGAGAGAGAGATGGAGGGAGGGAGAGAGGCAGAAAATCTGAGGACTAGAGATCGGAGACGGGAGGTTAAGGCAACCTAGAGAGGAGAAAGAGGCACACACAGGGCTGGGCCTGAGCCTGCCTCTCCAGTGGTCTCCCTCCGGAGAGAGGTTTCAGTGAGAGGTCTGGGAAACTCTAGGAGTTGGAGTCTGGAGTCAGCTTCAATCAACTTTTTCTTTCCCTGAGGCATTGGGGATTGAACCTAGAGGTGCTCTACCGCTGAGCTTCATCCCCAGTCCTTTTTATTTTTTATTTTGAGACAGTATCTCACTAAGTTGCCCAGTTGGCCTTTAGCTTGTGATCCTCCTGCCTCAGCCTCCTCAGGAGCTGGGATTATTGGCCTGTGCTTCCACACTGACTGACTGCAGGACCTGGGACCTGCCGCTGCTGCCCTCGGTGACTCACCTCCGGGTGATGAAGCCATGGAACCAGGCTGGTGCTGTCCCTTGCTGCAGGAGCCAGTGAGCCTGGGTCTTCTGGAACCAAGCAAGGATCTCCGCCTGCAGGGACAGGCCATCTTCCCCGGGCACCTCTTCAGCCTTCTCAGTATTCCCTGGGACAGAAGCAGTCTCTGGGGTCCAGGAAGATGCCTGGAGAGAAGAGTTCAGGGAGGTGATTAGGGGGCTTCTCCCACCTGATTCCTAGCCACCACCTTGTTACCCTCACCTTCAGCTGCTCCTATTTTAGGGTAGAATTGACCAGAAAGTCCTTCCCAAGGTTACAGCTTAAATCACTTCTTCAGCTCCAGCTGTTTCGTTTCCAGAGACCCTTCTCCCCCTTCCCCTGGGTCCTGCCTTTAATCCAGCCATAGTGAGCTGTTAAATAGTGGGGAGAGAGGCAGCAGGCTCTTCCAGGTGAAAGGCAGGAAGTCACTCCAGAGGACACAGCAGGAAGGGCCCGGCTGGCTCCCAGGCAGCTTCACGTCTGGGTGGTGAGAAGGGCTGAGGTGGGGGCGGGATGCACTGAGCAGAGGAAGGCACAAGATGAGGTGTCTCTTCTGGGACTCTGTGCACGGTAACCTGGTGGCCTGCCTGTGGACCCAGCCTGAGCTTCCCAGGGGCAGAGGAGCAGCGAGGGGTGAGCAGGCAACTCAGCCAGGAAGGAGGGACTGCCCATCTCCTTGCCCCACTGGGGGCTCCCGCCCCGTTGGCAGCCCCCGATCATTCATCCCTGCCCACTCTCGTGGCAACCTTTGCCAGGCGCACATCCTCACCCTTGGGAGGTGGGAGCCGATGAGAGGGTTCTCTCCACCCCCCACATTCCCACTCACCGCAGCGTGGACAGCCAGCGTCCCCGAGCTGGGCGGGGGCTCCTCGGCCTTCAAGGCCTGCGGTCGGGGCTCCTGGAGCAAGCCCGAGCTCGGGCATCTCTTGCGGGTCAAGTCCATGGTCTGGAAAGTGCTGAAGGTTGGGGCAGGCGCTTCATAACTCCCTGTTGGCACAAAGAAGGCTGCTGGGTTCCTCAGAAAGGAGCTGCCTCTATCCCCTTCCTCCCAGGCTTAGAGTGACTCCAAGGCCTCTGGCCAGGGACCTGTGCAACAGGACAGCACCGTCATGACAAGAGAAATGCCAGAGGGACAGCAGCGGGGATTCCTCGGGTCGGGAATAAGCTGCCAAGGTGTCTCAGAGGAGCTGGTGCAGCCAGAGGGCAAGTGGGGTGCCAGGAAGGAGAGGCTGGGAATGAGGCCTGGGGCTCTCACGGAGAGGAGGGCTCCAGGCCAGGCCCCTCTTGGGACCAGGAGCCTCTGCCTGCCACCCCATCCTCCCAGTGTCTCCTTTCTCCTAAGAAGCCTCAGCCCACCGTGACACCTTTGTCCTCTGGGCTTGAGTAGACAGGGACCCCAGAGGGAGCAGGAGTGGCAGGCACTTGGCCAATCTGCCTGCCAGTTGTGGCTTGGTGTGGGCCCCTCACCCCGGAGGTGGGAGCTCAGACCCAGGGCAGCAGGAGTGGTGGGGGTCTTGGTGTCCCCTCCCACCCACATTCTGAAACTTCACACCTACCTGGGGGGCATATCTGGGCCAGGGGCATCTCCATGGGAGCAGGGCCCCAGAGCAGGGCGTGTGTCTGTGCTCTCAACAGGTATGCACACTCAGCAGCTCCCCTCTTACCCAGCCCCCAGGGACAGGAAGTGTCGCTTCACCCACAGACTTAGCCCCAGCAGAATCCCCACGTCATGGAAAGCCGAAAGATCATTGTCCCACCCCGGAAGCCAGGCAGTTGAAGGTGTTGTGGTGGTGAGTATTTATGTCATTCGGTGTTTAGGTGTTGGGAGGTCCTTCCTGCTATTTGACCTTCATCTATTCTGATTCTTTCTCTGCTCCTTTACCTCCAAATAAGATCTCGAAGGTGCTCAGAACTGCTTAGAGATTCACACTCAAGATTATGCTTTGAGGAGATATGAGAAGGGAGGGGATGGTGGCAATAGGAAGGATGTTAGTCAGACTTCTGGAGGAACTTTTTGAGGTCATATGAAATCTGTGAGACAAGGATTTAGGGAGAAGGGGGTCTGGCTTCCATCCTTGAGCAGATAATGGAGGTGAATCAGCAAAACCAGGCCATCTTGGAGGGAGGAAGGACCTACAAGTAGGTCACTATTAATATCAACAATATTTGCAGTTGTCATCAATAATATCTGTGCTGAAGTTTCTGGGCTCAAGCCTTGGTTCAAGCCATCCTCTTGCCTCAGCCTCCAGAGCAGCTGGAACTACAATCATGTACCACCTGCCCACAGCGTTATCATTTTATTTCCCAAGGCCTGAAAGTGCAGCTCAGTAGCAGGTCAATTAACCCTGGGTTCAATCCCCAGCACTGGAAAGGGAGAAAGGTAGAAAGATTTCCTTTCCTAAGCATGAAAACTCTGGATTCAAAATCTGAAGTGTACCCCAGTGTGGTAGCGCATGTTTGTAATCCCAGTGGCTTAGGAGGTCGGGGCAGGAGGATCATAAGTTCTAGACCAGCCTGGGAAACTTAGTGAAAACTTGTCTCAAAATAAAACATAACAGATCTGGGTGTGGTGACGCATGCCTGCAATCCCAGCAACTTGGGAGGCTGAAGTAGGAGTATTGAAAATTTAAGGCCAACCTCAGCAACTTAATGAGAACCTAAGCAACTTAATGAGACTCTATCTCAAAATAAAAAGTAAAAAGGTCTGGGATATAATAGAGCAGTGGTTAAGCACCCCTGGGTTCAATCCCAGTATTAAAAATCAAATAAAATCAGGGCTGGGGTTGTAGCTCAGCGGTAGAGTGCTCGCCTAGCATGTGTGAAGCCCTGGGTTCGATCCTTAGCACCACATAAAAATAAATAAATAAAATAAGGATATTGTGTCCAACTGCAACTAGAAAAAATGTTAAAAAAATAGATAAAATAAAATCATAATAGTAATAAAAAAGGGCTGGGGATATAGCTCAGTGCTAGGTACTGGATTCAATCCCCTGTACAAGATAATGATGATATTAGTGCTGATGTCTCAGACTTTCAATACCTCCTTCCAGAGCAGGACACCAATCTCATTTTTCACCCATTTGATTTTTAAAAAACATTTGTGTTTTAGTTATAGTTGAACACAATGTCTTTATTTTATTTATCCGTGTGGTGCTGAGTATCAAACCCAGGGCCTCGCACTTGTGAGGTGAGCTGTCTACCACTGAGCCACAACCCCAGTCCCTCTTCCATTTGATTTTTACAAACTGAGCAGGAGACAGGAAACATTATTCCCATCTCCCAGGAATGCAAACTGAAGCTCAGAGAAATTAAACCTTGGCCAGGGTCTTTCAGTGTCTCAAAAGCTGGGACTAGAAACTACGCTTTCTCTAACTAACTCCACTATGATTTAGGCCAAAGGTTCACACACTGTTCTTGGGGTCAACCACCCAGAGAGGAAAAAGGACCTTGTCTCAAGACGTCAGGTCGGGGAGATGGACAGACACTTATTAAAAGGTGTGGCAAACTGAGCCAGTCGTGGTGGTGCATACCTGTAATCCCCGCACCCCTAAAATTCCCCGCCTGGGAGGCTGAGGGAGGAGGATTGAGAGTCCAAACCCAGCCTTAGCCACTGAGCAAGGCCCTAAGCAACTCAGCGAGACGCTGTCTCTAAATAAAATATGAAAAGGGCTGGGGGTGTGGCTTGGTGGTTAAGTGTCTCTGGGTTCAATCCCTGATAACACCTCCCAAAAAGCTGTGGCAAATTAATGATGTGGGTTTATGCTAGAGGAGGCCACCTTCAGAGGCCCCTGATTTAGCCTGGGCTGTGTGTGCGTGCACATGCACATTACACACGTATGTAGGGGGTTGGGATGTCAGAAGAGGAAATGGAGCTGAGTGGTGGAGAATCAGTCCAGTTGAAGAGTGGGGACAGATGTTTCTGGAAGAGGAGCCAAGCTCAGAGTGATGAGAGTGAGAAAAGGGAAAGTACCCCAAATAGGCCAATGGGAAGGGTCTTGCCTGGCATGTTCAAGGCCCAGCACCACACACACACACACACACACACACACACACACACACACACTGCTGCAGAACCTTGAGCTGCAAAGAGCAGTAGTTAGGTGTGTGACAGGCACTTTCACTTGGTAAAGATGATTTTTCTCAGAGGGCAAAGTGCAATCACACCTCAGAGTAGTCCACAGAAAGGAGAAAGGGGGCGGAGTTTATCTGCTCAGTTCCTTTCTGCTCTCCTCTCCCATTGGTCAAGGTTATCCCATAGGAACCGACCTCTGAGGCTGTGTCCTCCGCATTCCTAAGCATCCACTCAGGAAACCAGATCCCATCGCCCAGGAAGTGGTGTTTGTATTAATCAGAAATGGAGGGGTGACTCAGAGATGGGCTCAACCCGTGGGCTGTGAAAACCATACCTTCTGAAGAATTCAACTTGGACTCCATTCAGATTTAGCTATAAAAAAAAAAGAAGTGGGGGCCAGACATGGTGTTGCACCCCTATAATCCCAGCAGCTCAGGACACTGAGACAGGAGGATCTTGAGTTCAAAGCCTCAGCAAAAGTGGGGCGCTAAGCAACTCTGTAAGACCCTGTCTCTAAATAAAATACAAAATAGGGCTGTGGACGTGGCTCAGTGGTCGAGTACCCCTGAGTTCAATCCCTGGTACCCCCGCCCCCCCCAAAAAAAGGAGTGAGACTCTAATAAAGGTGACAGTGATTTTGGAGCATCCCTTTTGGATATAATCAATTAAGAGATTCTAGCTGGGACTGAGGTTGTGGCTCAAGTGGTAGAGTGCTCGCCTAAGACTCATAAGGTATTTGGTTTGATCCTCAGCACCACATAAAAATAAAATGAAGATATTGTGTCCACCTAAAACTAAAAAATAAATATATTTTTTTTTAAAATAAAGAGATTCTAGCCGGGTGTGGTGGGGCACACCTGTAATCCCAGTTACTTGGGAGGCTGAGGCAAGAGAATTGCAAGTTTGAGGTCAGCCTAGGCAATTTACAAAGACCCTGTCTCAAAAATAAAAAACACCAAGGGCTGAAGATGTAGAGGATATAGCTCAGTGGTAGGGCTCCCCTGGGCTCAATCCCTGATACTGCAAAACAAAACAAACAAAAAAGATCCTAAGGGGAATATACGAATGTTGCATTCAACAAGGGCCTACCTTGAACCCTCTCATTCTATCCAGTTCCCATGCCACAGTATTAGGCTTAAATTTGTTCTGTACAAAGACATTACTAATTCTTTTTTTTTTTTTTTTGGTATCAGGATAGCCCTTTTATATACTTTATTTAGAGACAAGGTCTCACTGAATTGCTTAGGGCTTCACCAAGTTGCTGAGGCTGGCTTTGAACTCGCGACCCTCCTGCCTCAGCTTCCCGAGTCATAGGATTACAGGCACGTGCCCCCACGCTCAGCTCTAATTCTTAATTTATCCCCCAAGAAGGGAGCTGTATTACCCAGTTAGTCACGGGTTTCCTTCAAGATGATGGATGGCCAAGTGTTTTTCTCAAAGACTAAGGCAAAAAGATTAGTGGGATAAAAGCCTAATCCTCATAGTTGTAACTGGGCCAGAAGCGCTAATTGATATTCATCTTTTCCTTTCTCCACCTACATTCTAGACACCCTCCACCTCCAGTTAGCACTTCATCTGGTCTGGAAGACAATCCAGGTAGGTTGATCCAGACCTTCATTTCCAAAAGGTATAGACCCTACATCTCCAATCCTTTTTTTTTTTTTAAAGAGAGAATTTTTTAATATTTATTTTTTAGTTTTCGGTGGACACACATCTTTATTTTATTTTTACGTGGTGCTGAGGATCGAATCCAATGCCCTGCGCATGCCAGGCGAGTGCGCTACCGCTTGAGCCACATCCCCAGCCCTCCTTTTTTTGTTTGTTGTTTTGAGACAGGGTCTCACCATACCCTGCCCTGTTGATTGTTGTAGCTACCCATTACCAACCATCTCTAGACGTGACAGTACTGATAGATGCCCAGAGAGTCCCTGGGTACAAGATGTTTTCCTCCCAAGGTCCTGACCAATGACTGGTCATTTTCCATGGGACTATTGGAAAATAGTCCATGTATATCTTTATTCCAGATGGTCACTCCCTACAGCACACTATGCTCATAACTCTGATTCCTAGTGGGATTTCCCTTTATCACTGTCCTTCAGGGACACATTGACTGGGGCCGTACTGTTTCTGGTGTGAGGTACATCACTCAGGTGGTGAGTTCCCCACCCCGGGATAACCTAAGTGTTGACTGAAGAAGAAGCAGTAGTGCAGTTCAGGCAGGTGGCCTGAGCCACCCTGCTCATGCAGTCGATGTCTGCATTCTGGACCAGCTCAACCCAGTCCAAAGGGCCATTTCCATCACATACTGGTTACTGCTTTTCAACTCCAACATATGACTCAAGTGGCTCTTACAACACTTGGCTTAGGATGGGTAGCTTCCGTTGAATGGCTACTTGGTGCTCACTGGTCAGGCATTCAGTCCCTGTCAGGGCAAAACAGGAGCTGTTTTTGAGAGCGTGGTTCTTTGTTAGAGAGAACATGACTTTGTTCCAGAATCCTAGGGTATGACTGCAATTCTTAATTGAGGTTTGCCAACACAGCACCCGTGTCCACTGCAGATATTTCCAGTACCCATGGCCTGAGA